TACGATACGGATCTCACGTAACACAAACAACGCGTGCAAGATACATTGTTGTCAACAAGAACGCTTTAATAGTGCACTAGATTACAGCTGTTTATTCCTACGGTACTTGCAATGACATATTTAAAACTACCGTGAATTCGTCACCGTCACATTGCTTTATATGTTCACATGTAGGTGTTCATCTGGGAAGACTTGCAAAGAAGAAGAAAAGAGCATGTTGCTACGATATGCCAACAACATCCAGAGCTGATGGCTGAGCAAGTCAATTATGGACGTTTTCTAGTCGACGATAATTACAAAATCCTCTACTGCCCAGTAGCAAAGGTTGCGAGCTCTAACTGGCGAAGGGTGATGCTTGTACTAAGAGGAACGTTTAGAAATGTATATGAGATAGGGAAAGGTGTCCCGTATAAATATAAATACACTTCGTTGAATAGTTACACCAATTCAGAGATACAATTACGCATGCGCACATACACTAAGTTCATGTTTTCTAGACACCCATTTACTAAATTACTTTCTGCGTATAACGATAAACTTAGCGGTGATTCTCCTAAAGACGTTTTTCTGAAAAAAATAGTTCCACGAGTGAATGCAGCGAACAAAATGAATTACACCGGGGCAGGATTTACTTTCCAGGAATTTGTTAACTATATATTGGAGACAGATCCAGACCTATTTGACGGTCATTGGGGGTTGATTAAAAATCACTGTAATCCGTGCAATGTCAAATTTGACTTTCTCGGAAAATTTGAAACATTGAGTGAGGATGTTGATGGTATACTTAGAAAAATTAATGCCAGTGAAGTTGCTGATTTCTCTTCATACGTCCCCCATAGGACAAATAGTTCATCGATTGACACTGTGACAGACCACTTTAGCCATCTAACGGAACAGCAAATTGAAGGACTGTACGCAAAATACAAAATCGATTTTGATTTATTTGATTACGACAATGATCAGTTTCTTAATATTTCTCAATCACTGTAAATGGAGAGACGGGTAAAAATATATGAATCGATTGTTATTTTGTTCCTAATTGTAATAGTTATTATTGTACATCTGTCACCGTAATGCCTTGAGTTTCAGCGTGTTGTGATTTTACGGGGTATTTTCATCTTACCATATAAGGAAATGCGAATTGAACGAAAGAAAATAACTCATAGTCCATTTCCAACGTTTTGCGAGAGATCTCGCGTGATTCGGCAAATTAACGGGCTATATTACTTGAAAAATACTTCTGCGCTCAGGATTTGTCATTTGTCGCGTGATTTATCGGTACAGCGCATAAGAATATACATTGTGCAGATTGTGCAGCCAGATGGGAGGGTCTTTGCTCCAACGTGTGGCTACGCAGTGTTGGCTGAATCGGCGTGAATAGGGCTCACGGTATCGGTTTTTAAAAGCCCAGTGTCGGCTCTAGCAAACACGCAGCACATGTTTACTTTGTTGAATATAGTATTCTGTCGTGTTATTTTATGTGAATATATATTACCGGACTTAAAAAGTCTGTGTACATTTATGTAATATTGGCGAAATTGCGAACATTCGGTTTTTCCTCATCGTCCCCTTGTACTTGACGTTGTTCTTGGCAGCGGATATGTGAGTAAGAGTATGTTTATTTTATATTCTCACTATATATCGTGTTTTTGGATTTACATTAATCCGGCGAAAGTACAGAAAATTCAGTAATTAATGAAAATGTTTACGTTTATGCTGTTATTAATATCACCAATAAGGTATATATCGTCTGAATCGTAGTGTTCCATCGTGGCAGTAAACGCATATTAGACCTGGATGAAATACAAAGATCTGATTAGTCACGCATGTAGCTAATCAGTGTTGGTGTAATATATAGTATATAATATTTGATAATCGTTGTTCTAAGTGACTATTCAAAATAACTAGACGTTTCGACGATTAGCTCTTTTCGATAGCATATAAAAATAAAGAGTTGATGTAGCTTACGGCCAAGGGAATACAATACAAAATGGCGGATTGTCAACCTACCAACTCACCTACCAACCTAACACTATAAAGTAGTGTTGTCGGCAATAATTTGGTTGAAGCCTTTGGCAAGTCAAGCGTTATGTTTACAGATATCCGCATGATTTTTTAATCAATAACCGAATATTACTGAGCAGCTCCGTGGATTCGCTTGTGGTTTAGTTTTTTAGCACCTTAGAGTGTCATCAAGTCATCGAATCGCACGCGAGATTCTCAGTTAAACGATCAAGAACGAACTGCAAAATCAAAAGATTCGATGTGAAGCAATTTCAATTAAGATTAGTCTGAGATATTCTCCGGGTTATTGAGTTTTTTTTCAGGTAATATCTTCGTTAAGAAATGTTTTTAATTATACAAGCCGTTGAAAAATATACCGTATTCTATTTGTGCAATTTCATTCCTAACTATATACATCACGTGACACCCTGAGTACATCTGTTGCGCAATGGACAGACGTACGTATCAATGGGCTTTTGCTATCTTGTGCGGTTTTTCATGTGTTTTTCCTATATTATATCTATCTCACAACTCCATTCTCAGTCAAGGTAGGTACTAGTTTTTCAGTGAATAAGTGACATGAAATACTACAAATGTCTGGTGGTAAGTATCTTTATTGCCCAAATGACAGTGGATATAACTTTCAAGTTACATGTACATGTTTTACCACGTTGCTGTCATTAAGAATCAACACTGCCATTTACAATAATAGATTTGTTTATGTGTGGGTGATTCAAAAATGTAACTGAAGTATGACCCCTAGACCTCATGAGCTAAGATGATTCCACAATTAGTTTGCAGGGTCTTGAATTATGTTTTTAACCCCAGGTCTAGTAATTTTCACCAAACCATTGAAATGTTAGTTTACCACTGTATTCGTCAAGAAGGGGATCAGTATTCCCTCATTTTTGTAATAAAACATTTCAGGTGTCATCAAATTTACACACTGATAGCATAACATATAAATTATAAATATAAAAATATAATGTTGGCACTTTTCAAAGTTCATGCACAGTGCACACTTCCTAATGGCAGCAGTTTAACAACTGACTTTCGGTATCTGGCTTTGAATATAAGGACCTGTAAAAAAGTAAATAAATGCTACACACTTCTAAACCAAACCATTGATAAATGATTACCCACTTCTAAACCAAAAAAACGTGAAATGACACCCCAGTCGGCGGCACATACTTGTATTGTACTTCTATGGAAGTAACCCCCTCCCGGGTGTGTTGCACGGTTACTGCAACATTCTTCTAGTAACCGTACGTGTAGATTGTGTTTAGGTTGTTTGCCAGACCCAAAAAACTGGCGCTGCATTTTTCACCCAGTTTTCCACAATATTTTATGCCAACGTTGCAGGCTGTTTGTGGCATACTTCGTCAGCTAAGTGAAAAAATATTTATGACAACCATGTTTTAACAAAGTAATGGAACTGTCAATCTCAGAAGCTCTACTCGACTGATCATTCAAAAGTTGAACTGTCTTTTTTTCGTGATTTACCACTTCCTTACCCCGTTGCAACAAACTCATCTTTTTTCAGCTAGTAATGCCTCAATTGCATGGTTTTGGTGATCGGCGAGGTCTTGTATCTTGAAAAACTGCGTGATCTGTTCTGCTTAGGTCGCAATTTTAAAACACCCGCTCTACACATTTTGATACCAGATAGTTGATTGACTGTTTATTTTTGGCTATCTCCCCCTCCTTGTCGTTAAGGGCGCCTATTATTAAATACTATTAATAGTAAATATTATTAAATAATGGTTCATTCTGCGAAGGGTTAGTTCGGGGGTATCCTGAAACAAGTTGGATAGCGGCATCAGTCGCGGAATCTAGAAGCGCGCGTACTAGATGAAAAGCTTCGACAGAGCGCGCTTTCGCGTACAGAGCAAACGATGATGGCCTCACAAAATTGTCTGATTTCGATATTGAAACCCGCTGTTATTGTTATTGTTATTTGTTTGATGCCGATTTCAGTATTAAATACTTGTTATGTAACAATTTCTCTTCGTTTTAAATAGTTTCTCCGTTATTTGTTTCCGACAACATTGTATTCATATCCACGGCACGATGCCTTGATGCTCAATAATGGGATACATTATCGCGATAATCTGCTTCAATGACGTCATAAAATTCATTGGTATTGATAATGATATAATATAATTGGCGTCAAAGCTGTACGATTTTCAGCGATCCTGAATATTGGCGAACGTTTCGGCTCCAATTCGGTTCCTGGCGAGTCCAGGCAAATCATCAAATATCTTCTGCAATTTCAATATATTCAGAGCATCAAATAATTCACATATAGGCCAATGGAGCTATATTCAGTTCAATTATTGAATATAACAATGTAATGCGTTTGTTTATAGTTAATGTGAAGATGAAGTTAAATAGGGTATTCAATCCATTTCAAAACGACGCCGTCCAGACTACAACAACCAATATTGACGACAAGTTTACCACCACATCCACGCCACTCATATCAAGAAGTACAGTGTACCATAGGGAGCACAGCGAGATATTGACAACAGAACGAGTACCCAGAATCATGATGAATCACAGAAACCACAGCGAGTCCTCGACAGCAGAACGAATTCTCAGAAATACGGTTAGTTTTAATGCTCATTTTTTAGTGTGAAATGGTTTTCCACCGTGTGTTTACTTTGTGTTCCAAGACTATGAACACAGGTATCTACTAGCTACGATGCTCCGAGTACGTAATAATAGAGAGGGTTCGTAACAAAAAATAATAAAATGACTTCCTAATCATGGAGTTAGTTCATAAAAATAGAATAAGTGCATGTCAATAGAGTCTTCATAACAATAAAGACTATAGGGTGTAAATTAAAACAATTTTTGAGCAAGTAAGCCAGCCACAGATTCCACTATTTTACCTGATAGTGATAGCTTGTATCAAACTGATTTGACCACCTATAGACTCCTGGTTGGACGGAAATACAGAAAAGAAGAAAAGAACATGTTGCCATGATATGCCAACAATATCCAGAACTGAGTGCTGAAAGAGTCAAGTATAACAATCTTCTTGTCGACGATAACTACAGCATTTTCTACTGTCCAACAGCAAAGGTTGCTAGTACCAACTGGCGAAAGGTTTTACTTGTGTTGCGGGGAACTTTCACAAACGTATCAGAGATACTTAGCAACCGTGTGGTGTATCAGTCGAATCACCCAAATTTGGGTAGTTACACCAAAACAGAAATAGAAATACGCATGCGCACATACACCAAGTTCATGTTTTCAAGACACCCTATACATAAGTTACTATCTGCATACCTTGATAAACTCGGTGATTCCCCGCAATGGGTGTTTCTGAAAAAAATACGCCCATGGATGACTGAGGTGGACAAAATAAGTTTCAGTGATTTTGTTAACTATATATTGAAAACTGATTCAAACCAATTAAATAAGCACTGGGGATTGATTAAAAATAAATGTAATCCGTGCAATATCGACTTCGACATTCTTGGGAAATTCGAAACACTGAGTGAAGACAGTAAAGGCATACTAAATGCCATCAGCGCAAGTGAAATTGTTGATTTCCCTTCATACGCCACGCATAGAACGAGCAGTGCATCGCTTGATGTATTGGCGAAGTACTATAGCCAACTTTCGAAGCAGCAAACTGAAAGACTGTATTCAAAATATGAAACTGATTTTCGTTTATTCGATTACAACGCTGTCGAGTTTTTTTAATCTGTCTTAATTACAGTAAATAATCACGCTGATGTAAAATTACTATCCACTCGCTTTGTATTGCCATGTAGCTGTGAATTTACAGGAAAGTTAAACGCTTTATACTAATATTTATGTTTATGTTTATTTATCCACTTATTTGTTACAAGAAAGGAAACTCAGGAGGTGTCTTGGCGTCGCGAGATGAATGACAAGTCAAGTAATAATAGAGCATACATGCATATGGACAAGAGAGTAAGAAATTCAAGAATCTTAATTTTGGTCTTCAAATAGTGTGTCATCTTGAAACCGCATACAATGTTCCGGCGAACTGAACGATGCAAAGTAAAAAAAATACCCATATTTTTGAGTAAATCGAAATTGGCGTGTGTCAGGGGGTTGTTTTAGTCGCAACTGTTATCTATTATATCATATAATTTGTATAAAAAAGATTTTTTTAAGAATATAGGTGTAATCATGCCACTGATTAAAACGCTTGGGATTAAACTTTGAAAGTTTTTGGACGTTGATGTTTTGTAGCAAATCACTTGTCTATTGATCAAGAACTTTATGAGCAAGAACATTTTGAAAAATTATAACTATTTTTGGTGAGAGCATAACGTAAAAAAAACACGCTACCACTGGCAGTTATTTAGAGTACGAACGTAGATATAGCCGGTGTAATTGTATGTCAATTTGCAAAGAAGGACTTCGGTTATTATTCTGCAACATGAACGTGTTTCACGTGAAATATCAAGTTTTGTTGAAGAAAGAAAGAGCAGGCGTGTTAACATCAAAATGGCAGACAACTAACTATCCAACTATTGACACAATTATTTTATTTATAGGGACACAAGTCACAATTAGCACAAGTTACAATGATGTTGCACACGAATGTCGACTTGTTTGGACTGTTGGGAATTTTTGGTTTTAGAATTTTTACGTGACCATTTTAAAAAAAAGAAATGACAAACGTGTAATGAACGTGACCAATTCACAAATTTAAATTTTGTTGTAAAACACTTGAAATCATTCTCGAAACAAGCAACAATTCAGGATGAATTGCTATACCACTATTAAACAAATCATTGAATTGTCAGTAATTTTAGAGAAAAATCTACATGTCATTCAAACGCGTAAATTCATTGTATATTTTTCACACAGAAAAATAGTTCATAAATATAACACACTAAATATCAATCGGTTGAACCAATAATTTTTTTCAGTCAATTCAGTTGAAAAATCATAATGATAACAAAAGTGTATGACTGATCCGAACCATTATGTTTTTTACGTACGCTACTAAATACCAAATATGACGAATCGGTCAAGAATCAATAATTGATTTTTTTGTCGCTTTTGTGGAAAATTTATGATGGCGGCCAGCCAAATTTTAGAGCAAGTGGTTGTAGCACTCACAGTGATGAATTGCCAAAGGAAATAAAGGAAAATAAAGTTTTTAATATATATTCATTGTGTTGTGTTGTCCATGCATTTGGTGTTGAACAAAAGGAGATCGTTATTTTGGAAATATACCGGAAATGAGCTCCATCGGAGACCAATGTATTTCCAGGCATGATTTTGCAGATTATACATGTCAGTTTTATTCGTATAAGAATAAGCATTAATATAGCACGCGACAAGACTGGATATACACACTGACCTGTATTGATTGTTGCATCATATCTACATCAAAGCGAATGTTGTACAGTAGTAGTGTAGCCGAATGTTTTCACACTCAGTATAGTAACCTTTTTATTTTTACCACATTACATTTATTTATTTCAGTATGGTAATTAAGTGTGAACTGGGAGGAAGTGGTATTGTGGTTACGTAGTCCACGGTCAAATACATACGCTGTGTGGTTCGTTTTATACTGCATTTATGTTGTATTTGTATTAAATATATCTAATATATCAATATATTATTCAATCTGAATTTATAATTTATAAAATCTTTTTTCTTAACTTTAATCTATATTATGAACTTGTGTTTGGTAAATGTAAATATGTATTGGTTCATGGGGCTAGAGTTACAGGAGAATGACAACATTGCTTTTCTCGTTTTTTTTAATTTGATAACAATTTACCTACACATGTTTATACACTATTTGGCTAATAGTATTGATCATTTTGGCGCCCATGCACATATGATGTTCACCAATAATAATAGACATACAATAACACATTGTTCAATTAATTTCAATCTGTGATAATCTGGTCACCATATAATTGTCTCTTACAAATCTTACATATTGTTATGGAGCTAGTAAACAGTTGTTTACTAGTAATCAGCTATTTGGCTAGTTAGTAGTTTATATTTGTTAGTTCTATATTCAATCGTTTATCACATCTCTATTAGTTTTATGTATAATCATTTTGTATGTATAGTCAGTTTATTCGGTTTATAAAGGTAGTTGAACATCATACATCATACTGTATATGATAATTGTCACACGTGAGCTTTTGATGACACACTTCCTGCTTCCTGGCCCCTGAATTTGGTTCCTTGAATTGGATAATTAGATACTCTAGCAGTACGTTCAAGTGTGTAGACACATATGGAGACACTGAAAGTAAGAGTGAAAGTCAGATATAGATGATAAATGTGCCGGCGTGTGATTAGTTGTATTTGTACCGTAGACCTTTGAATCATGCAAAGAAAGCGCACCTATCAAGAAATAAAGTATATCGAGTACATTGGTAACTTTTCATCGTTAAAAAAAAATAATGATGAATTCATAAATGATTGTTGACACTTGACATTGGACCTTGTCTTGTGACGAGACCTGAAACGACGCCCACGGATACTAGCAAGATTGGTGAAGGATTGAAACGCGCGTGGACCTAGATACAAATTGCAGCAACACGGTGAATTCATGGCAACAAATCGGTGCTATTGAACACACAATAATAACGGCAAGCTCTCTACTAGTTGAGTTTATGTTATACCATAAACAGGTGATGTTACTGGTCTTCTGCCAGACGATGATGACATGCCTCTCATAATATCTCTAACTGATACAGTCAAATTCTATCACAGGGAAATCAACAACTACTTTGAGTAGACACTTGTAAGCATATGTTTGGGTGTCTACTACATGAATATGTGCAAGACTGGTATCCAAGACACTGGTTTGTACGACAGATCGTTTTTGTAACTGATCTCTCAATTGAACGTTATCTACTGGATTTTTTTTTGAGATATGTATGTCGGCACTGAAGGTCGATTTATTCAAATACAGACTATCGCCCTAAAATGTGCAGTTTTGGTGGCCCTTCCATATATTATAAAATCTCACCACTGAAAGTAACCGCTGTACTAGTCAGGAATGTATGATGGTCTGTACTTTTCGTTTCATTTGCGTAATATACAAGACACCACGTGACTGCAGTGGGATTACTGAATCACACGTCGTATTCTCTGCAATAGATATTTATCGTTGTTAATGATCTATTTAATATTTTCGAACGAATGTGTTTTATTACGTAAATAATCTTGACATGTTTCTACACTTTCATTTTTCATTCTCACAAACTAAATATAAGATAACTCGTTCATTGAAACTAAAACTTAATTGTGTGTTGCTCGCTCGCCAATAAAAATCCACTGTTATATATGACTCATATATCGGTCATGTCAACAAGGATATAAAATAAAAAGCGTGACGTAACTACTAAGTACCATGCCGTGAATTTAGCTTCTGCGTCCTTGTATCACGATGAGTGGAATATATACTTTCGTCAAATCGATTAAATATTTCTCATTAATTGGGATTTACGCATAACACAACTCTTATTGCATACGGAATCAATGTACGTAATTTATTGCGGAGGGGAAAAGTTTTATACCTGAGTACAACACTGTGGGTGTCATTGACATATATGCTACAAGCTAATGTACAGTGAGTGTATGCGACTGCTGAATATTAGTTTTATTTAATATTAGTAATATTAACAGACTTTAACTGCATATGACATTTTAACTATAAGTATTAAGATGTTAAATACGCAAATGTGCATGTGTTTTGAATTATCGGTACGTACTATTAATTTTAAAAATGAGCATTCGTGTAATTCAGATTTTACAAAAGAAATACTATCTAGTGCATATCAAAGAATATTATGTATATTGTTAGTGAGGTTATCCATATTTTGTTTTTATTCTATGCGATAAACCTTTTCAATAAATTGCGCCCTCGGGCGATGAAACGTGTTCACGTCAAATTGACAGGGTTCGAATATAAGCAATAACACTTTTTATGAAGTTGAAAATACAGCGTTTCGTTAAAATAATATCCGCTTTTACTGTATACAAGCAGACATTTTTCAGACGTCTTGCTCGACCTAACTTTCGCCTAGTCTCCTTTTCAGTGATAAATCCTGAGTGGTCTATGACATTTAATTCGTACGTAATTTATAATATAGTGACGTAATTTAGAATATATTCTCTTATTGACGGTCGACCACGTATCTAAATATCATCAGCGTTGTGGACACTAATCTACGTCACCTAGCGGATTAACCGTTAGAGGGCACGCCATATAAGGACTATATATCGAGGTTTATTTTTTTATCTTATTGAACGCAATGTTACAATTATGATCCAGGAATAATATTGCACAAAATTGTTGTTCCCATCAAAAATACATTATATATTTAGTGTATATCAATATATCACGTAAGAAATGTTACATTTAATAAACATAAACAAGCTTCGATTGCTTTCTTAAATGTCGAATACAAGAATTCTCAATATTGCAAGTAATGCAAGACATCCAAGTAAGATACATTCATCTCTTGTATAGCATACACTATATTCGATCTAATAATTGTACTTCTGATATTGTACTGAAAAACCATATATTTTTAATGACATTTTGATGTTTTGAAAATATTCACTGTGTTTTAATTTCACGACTTTGTATATGAAACAATGAGTTTTATTGTTAATTTTAATGTTCAAATAGATTTAACACAGTATGGACCGTAATATGCAATATACACCTTATATTTCACTTG